TCTCGACTGATGAAAATATTGCCACAACTCCTCGATCGAATAAGTCATCATCTCAAAGTAATAGCAATGATGGATGGGGTCCGGCTGATAAATTTGATGACAATAATAGTTGGAATTGGGAGTCCCAATCAGCAGCTTATCAGAAAGAATTTGAAACAAAAAGTTATAACAACTATAAAGCTAGTGACGATGTTAATGCAAGTGATGGTTATTATAACAATGATAGATATAAGACTAGCGATAGTGCTAATGGCTATTATAAAAATGATAGATATAAGACTAGCGATAATAATAATGGCTATTATAACAATGATAGATATAAGTCTAGCGATAATAATAATGGCTATTATAACAATGATAGATATAAGACTAACGATAATAATAATGGCTATTATAACAATGATAGATACAATACTAACGATAATACCAATAGTTATCATAACAATGGTAGATACAAGGCTATCGATAATGCAAGTGATGGTAATTACAATAATGATAGAAGTGAAGATTGGAAGAAAAAAGCTGCGGAATTTGAAGCAGAATTAGAATTACGAGGAACCGATAATTACAATAATAAAAATCATAGTAATTATGTAGAATCCAATCACTATCATCATAAATCTAATAACAACTACAACCAACATAAAAATTCTAATTATTATAACAATGACTATAGAAATCAATTTCAAAGAGGTGAATCTAGCAAAAATGCAAACAACAATAATAGAGATGGTAATAATGTCAGAAGAAACAATAATCGAGAATCATACAGTGGTAGTATATATGATGGTATTTGTTTGAGTTTCTTTATTAACGATATCATCAGTTAAATTATATTCTTCTTGTGATGATGATACAGGCATGGTTTCTTCAATATTTTCAGTATCTTCGAATGTGGTAATGGTTTTTGTCGTGATTGTTGTTGTATCGATGTTAGTAGCATCAATAGTGGCTTTGCTTTGTTGTTGTATTTCCATTATGACTTTAATCAAATGGTCTAGATCAAGAGAATCCTTTTGTTCTAAAATTAGCGCAATGATATCAATACGGTCGGTTTGAACTTCTACAGAATCATAAGTTATTATCTCTGTATTGACAGCAGTATCGATATATGTCTTGAGTTCTGTATTTACGGCAGCATCACAATACGTTGTTCTAGCATTACAAGTCATATTTCAATATTTTTACTTATATAAAGGTATGAATGATTATAAATTTAATATTTTTTTTTTTTGAAATTAGGTTAAAAAATAATAAAAAAAATTTTTTTACAATAATGTTTGATGGGAAGAATGATAAGTAAAATATTTATGGTTAGATTTCCTTAATTGAAAATTCCCACCTAAATTTTGATTCTGATTGGATATATATTTATATTGATAAAAATAAAAATATTTTTTTATATTAAACTGTACTAATCAATTTATTTAATAATATACCAATATATATATATATACAAAGAATGATAATAATTTGTATTACTCCCCCCCCCCTACTTTTTTTAAAAAGAAAAAAGAAGGCGAATCAAATCTTTGACTGACCGACCGACTTGATTGATCGATTGATCGATGGAAATTGCAGCCAGTATTTAACTGATCAGCTAATACTAACCCCAACTAATTCTACGGCTCAAAATATAAATGAATCTTATTAATATTAATAATTAATTCGATTGACTCATTATTCTAATTGAGTTTCTAAGCCACATCAAGTATTTTTCTTCCACATATCTATTCATATTAAAACTCTGTCTAATTTCACTTTAGTAATTGTAACAGCAGGTAAGTTGGTTATCGATACTATTGTTATTTTATTATTCAATATTTGTATATCATCAGATTTATTCATGATTTTTTAAGGAACTATACAATGGAAGGAAAAATAAATTTTTTTGATCCTTTCCATTTATTTATCCTAAAATACATATTATTGTTTCGAAATTGGGTTCCTAAAAAAATTCATTTCTGCATGGTCTTGGTATTATTTATTACCTGGATGATGCAATTGTTTGTTCTGTCAATTATAGTATCAAATATATTGAATAATCATTGTGATGGATGTGAGGACAAAGGAATTCGCATATGAGGAAAGGGTTAAATAACAACAAAAAAGCTAAGACATGTTTATTTTTTATCTATATAATTAATCATATTTAAAGAATTATTATTTTATTCCACTCTTGCATTGGCATTAATTTTAATGTCATCTGACAAAATTTTTTCGCAGTTGTCAGATTCATTAAAAAATGACGATGATGGACTAAACTCAAGTGAGAAACACTTACTAAATAAAATTTCTTGACTAAAGACATAATTCGAGAAGATTTTTATAATAAATCCCTATATTTTATTATTATGTCTACAATATCATGTTTCTAAATTTTTAAAAAATTCGTGATGAAGGCCTATTGTTTGAGGTTTTTACATGTGATAATCCAAGGTTTTTTGGACACTTTATTTTAAAAAAGATTGATTAATTTTAAGGTTATCTCTAACTGTTCTAAGATGACATTGCACTTCTAGAAATGTTAAATAACGGTTAGAAACAAATGGAATACAAATGTTAGAAAGGTGGCCAAGTTGCTAATCCATTGAATATTTGTGGAGACTCGTTTTCAAAAAACTTAAATCAGCAAAAAATTTAAAGGAATTAGAGACACTTTTAATTGAAGAAATTAATTGAAAGCATGCCCTCGCAAATTCGTTTAGATATTTTGGGTTTGTTGTTAAACATTTTAATTAATTAATAATAATAAAATTGCATTGATGTTGAATTCAAATAATAACGCGGCTAGATTTTTTAAAAAATAACATTTTGTTTTTTTTTTTGGCAGAACGAACGGATTTAAAAATGAGCATGCGTGAAATCGAATTTACACAGATGAGTCGGATATTATCAAGTACTTTAAACAATTGATTGCTGCATTCGAATTATCGTACAACATTTCCACCGACAAATTTTGAAACAATTTAAAGAAAAATAAAATCATTTTGTGAGTTTTGTGAATAAGGTTAAAAATGAAAATGAGAATATCACCCAGCTCAAAGAATAACAATGATAAATAGCAAATTGTTTATTCAGTCTCAAAGGTGGGTTTCCCTAATATTGACGAACATCAACATCATCAGCATTTTCATTAATTATAAATAAATTTAAATTCTACATATTAATATATTTATAAAATCAATAACCCGAGCCATATATGTGTGTGAACTTTTTTTTAAAACGTGCAAAATTTTATGAAATTCTGGATCTGCATTAATTAAATCCTTTCCTTAACTGGTGGATCATGAAATCAACTGCTTTGAACACCCCTATGTTCACTTTGTCTCCAGGGTTGGCAATTGAACTTTGGACCTGGTCCTTTGATATTAAATATGGTTAGAATATTATTTTAATGAGCCATAGTTGGCGGTGATCACTACGGTGTTCGAAATTCGACTGCGTCTAAACTAGTCTAATTTGGAAATTATCAGCAGTTATTTTCCATATCTGGTTAGCGCGCACTTATTCTACCGAATTTCGAACACTGCCCCCATATAAAATTTGGAGTTAGTGAAAAAAAAATGTATATATATAATATTTAAACAAAAAATTTTATTTTAAAAAATATTTAAAATCGCGTTTTTTTCCATGTTAAAATTTCTTAATATTTATAATATTTATGTAACTTTACGTAACTTAATCGATTAAACAAATACTGATAACAATATTAACAACAACAACAATAATAATGGCTTTAGCAATAATTATTTTAATGATAGTGATTATTATAGAATTGATTAATTGGTATGGATACTCACAAATAGCGAACATGGTAAGAACTTGTTAATATTTGTATTTATTCATTTAACTAATCAATTAACTTAATAATTAGCCTTCCAATATGCAATTTTTTTTTAACATTTGAAAACAACGTTATATGTATTTTTGAAATAAGGCATATAACATATATTTAAGTGTATTTCAAAAGGAAACTATAAAAAAACAAAGGATGCTTAAAAAAGATATTTTACAAGTAAAACAAGAATTGACAAGAACAAGTTCACAGGTATTTATGCGAGGAGGAGGCGAATTGGAATCAGAAAGAGATTGTTATAAATCCATATGATTTACTTTTGCTTCGTTATTGATAAAGGATCAATTTGCTAAATGGGCCAAGTTAAGAAGAAAATTGGATAGCAAGATGAATGAATTAGAAAAGATTTGTAAATATATATATATATTTAATAATTAAGTTGGGGGTGTAAAAAAATTTAATTAATATATTAATTTTTATTTTTTAATAATAATAATAATAATAATAATAATATATATATATATATATATATATATATATATATATAGCAACTTCGTTAGGATATATGAGGACATCATTTGTACTAAAATTTCAAACTATTTTGTGGGGATCAATTAATGGAATTCAAATAATTATGATATTATGGTATAGAACTACACCTGTTTATTTTTTACCAAAAAATTGGTTCAGTCCAGTTAGTTGGATCTTTTCATTGCCCTTTTCTCCATCAGGTTTTTGATTTTTGAAGATTTTATTGTTGATTTTTTACGTTCGTTTGTTTAATTTTCAAATACATTCATACATACATTTATATTTATATTTATATTTATATATTATCAAAAAATTAAATTTTAGGGGCTGTTAGTGTATCAATTTGGCTTCTAATTTGTCGAAAAATTACAAAAAAATTAGTAATTTCTTCTAAAGATTCTGGTATATATACATATACACACATATAAAAAATACTATTGATTGATTAACTAATTGACTGATTACCTATTTATTTATTTTTTTTTTTAGTGTTTTTTTTCAACCGGACATATAAACTTATTTCATCAAAATTAAATAAATCACAAGTCTCATAATTTTACAAATCAGAATGGGGCAAGAAAGAATGATGTGTGTGTATGCTAGAGATGGGTACAAGAGAAGAAAAAAGTAGCAAGAAAAAAATAGAAAAGATTAATATCTATCTATCTATCAGGGCTTTAGAATATTAGAAAGAAAAGTTGGATATTAACTATATAAAGCAATTATATCATATTTATTAGTTCAATACCATCAAAGCTCATTTCTTGGTTCTAAGACTTTTGTTTGCTGTAATTAATGTTCTTTGTAGCTAAAGTTAATTTCTATTTATTTATTTATTAATTTTATTTAAATAAATTAGAATACAAGAATATAGTAATTTACAAATTATCTTCAATATTTCACTTAAAAGTTTGGGTGTTAAAGGTTATTATCATAAGGGAAAAGCCAGAAATACATGTTTATCGTTTAATATAACTGATAGGAAGGACTAACCTCCCGCTTCCCATTGTATCTACCAAATTCATTATTGAATTTCATTAAATAATATATAGTTTGCCACAACCAACAAGAACGAGCATATTAATATGCAGTGAGAATGTAACAAACTAAAGAATATTATCATAATACATTGTTGATTGGATATATCAATAATTCATTTCAAATATATACATAGTCAAACCAAAGGCATTTATGCAGCCACTTTTCTTCGGATTAACGGAGTACTTCAAAAACTGAAGATCGGATTATCGTGTAATTTAAATAGAAGGAAGGAATGGTTTCAAAAAAAAAAATTTCGGTCTAACAGGGTCTACCTATGGATTAAAAGATGAAAGGCTACGGATTAACGGAGTAAATTTATATGTTAATGTCCAATTTCAGCCCATATGCTATACTGTACTTTGTTGCACGAATTTTTCTACACAATTATTAATTATTATTATTGGCTGCTTTAATGTAACACGAACACGACTTCCTCAACACAACACAATCAAATATGAATATTTCACAAATATTGTTATATAGTTCTTTGAGAATAATTTGACCTGGTCATTACTAAAATTTCTTCAATATAGAGAGGAAACTGTAAGCTTTACGTACAATAGAGGAATGGAGCATAGAGTATACAAGAGAGTTTTAAACATGTTTTCTGAAGAGCGAGCTTAATCATGTCTCCTGAGTTTTGAAGTTAAGTATATTTAATATGATTGCAGATTGTGTGGGTTCAAGAGCTAGAGTATGTTCCGGTCTTAGGACATGTTGTGACATATTGACAACCCCCGAGTAGCTAGCCACCACGCCCTAGCTAGTGATAGTGATCTATGCCATCCCTCGGGCGCCCTTGAATACACTACTTGGTAGTTGCCATAACACAACCGATGAATATGCCCCAACTGGTTATTAGGCCATGCCCCATGTTATGGTCCATCTCAATCGCATAAAATAATAAAAAAATGTTTATTTGAACTTATAGTAATATCCAGTTCTTATACTAATATTCATCTCTTTTTAACGAATGAGAGAGAAAACCTCCCAAACTTCTGGAAAGAGAAAACAATATTGAAAAGGTTTGGTTTGTAAATTGTGTTTTGCAATTTTTTATATACGCAAAGGATCTGATCTGATATATTTGTAAATAGTTAGGTTACATCAATGACGTTATGGATGATTCAATCAAAGATTTTCAAAACTGTAAGAACATTCTTATCTGACAAGCTAGAATCATTTGTAACAGACTCAATTCAGTGCTCTAAGAAGCGAGTTCTTGTAAATATTAATTAAAATCGGTATTACATTTATATTTTGCATAGTAAATTTACTTTCCTTCTCAATATCTAGTCACATGTAGAAGATTCTCAAGATCATGATAAAATTTCTAATTTTTCACGTCAGATCAAAACAAGAAAGTAAGTATTAATTTTATTTTTCATTGCTTCATATTGATATCATGCTTTTTTTTTTAATACAATATAGGCCAAATGGTTTAATGTTTCATTTGATGAATATGTTGACTTGAGTGGGCTTATAGAAATGAAATTGCCAGTGTTCCCAAAATCGACATATGGAACTTTCAACAGATTGGGAACTTGACACACCAGTTCCAAGCTGGTTGCAAAAAATGATGGAACAACATAAATTATTGATTTCACAAACTGACCCATCCGAGAGATTTAAATCAACAAAAGAGTAAGGGCTTGATCAATACTGGATCCTTTTGTCTTTGATGGTGGCCAAATTCTGACCGATTTCATTATTTAGACCAATCTGGTGACGGATTGTGGATGTGTCAGACCCAAAAATCGCGCAAGAATTCTTGTCTAAAGAAGAATTTTAGATCTACAAACCACGTTTTCAACTGCTCTTAATATTGTTCATCCCAAGAATGACTGGACAGTGCTAGAGCCTATTGCTGAAAGATGTCTGCAATCTCTTTCAAGGGTAAGTATTGAAATTAAGGAGTTTGGTTTTATATGATAATTTTAATTAACATGCACTTTTTGTTCCTAGCTGGACAGTGGTCAGATCTGTATTATTGGAGAAATAGTGAAGCCTAAAGGAATACATGGAGCCATTCTTGAACTTCGGAAAATCATAAAGAATACCGAGGAGCCGAACCTAGAACCCGATTTATTTGCGATGAGAATCCAAATAATAATACAATACCATTTGCTTTTATTGAAGAAATAGACTATCTGGATAAAGATGTGAGTCACATTTTAGAATTGGCTTGTTATACGTAAGTTTATTTTATTTGATAATGCTAGCTTGGCATTTTGTTATTTTGCATACACATTATCATTTGAACGTCTAATACCACATTTCTTTGCAATCGGATGTGAAATGTTAGCAAAAGGGAATTCCCCAGCGAAAAAACACAGAAAGAGATATTGATATTTTCATCAAAAGACACATATTTTCATGTTTTGATGACATCCTTGGTAGCCACTTGTAGGTTCTATTATCATTCTTATGTACTGTTCATTGTTGATAATAATACTAATTATTTCTCAAATAAGTGGAGAAATGGTGTCTAGGTCATCTCGAGATCAATGGTGTGAAGCAACAGATGCCCCAGATAATGCAGAGCAAGGTTGGCAAATGCGTGGTCCATTAGTGGTCTATTGATGATCCATTGAGTCCATTAGTGTAACACTTTAACCATATTTAATATTTATTAATGGCAATGGACCAGTCCAAAGTCCATCAGTTCTCAATTGACCAGTAAATTTGCCAATCTTGATGCAGAGGGATTTCATTTAGACTGGATATTTACGGTGTGGTTAGATTTATGGTGCTTTTGATTGTTGTTATCAATATTTTTTTTTTTTTTGATTACTAACAGATGCCTACAGAAACATGATATAGGAAAAGATTTGCCGTACGGTCGAGAATTTTCCCTTTGCGAACGTGCAGGTTCTAAAATCGAGAATGATACAAAAAAATTTTCATTTCATTATGACCTGCAGAAATTGTTGCGTTCTACAGTTTCTCATTTCAAGCTTATAAAGGAAAGAGCAAAAAAAGAAAATTTTGTCCTCGGAAAGGTGGTGACGACAAAGCCAAAGGGAATCTCAAATATAGCAGAATCTACAAGAACAACCACAAATCCGTTAGCATAGTATGTTGAAAGCATGTATTACGATGTAATGTTGCTAATATCTGAAAATTTTTTTCATTTCAGTAAAGTAAATGAATCATTACCACTACTACCAAAATTGATTATTAACACACGATGATGTAAAGAATACATTTTTGCCTACATCAGATTTTATATTCTTTAACAATGTATGTGTTTGTATTCAGTGTGGCGTAGAGTATCGAAAAAATAAAAATTGCATGTATGCTAATATACTATCAATCATGTAAAAATGGAAAATGTATTTTTTTATTGACATACATATTAACAAAATGATTTTATTATTATAAATATTGTTATCAGGTGGGTATTGATGTGGTAATAGATGATAATGTATTTTTAATTATGCAGAATCAGATGAAATGGCAGTAGACCAGCGAATAGTTTTGGGTTTGTGATTTGATATGAATATTTGTTTATTCAGATGGTCGAAACCAAAGAATAATTTTAGATCTTTAGATCAAAGTTAATTTTTAAAATGTGAATATGTAGTTAATTTAGTGACAGATTTTGTTTTATCCTATTATATATAATTATATAATCAGCATCTAATATGATAGTGACTAATAATCTAACGTTAAATAACATTATAACATCAATACATATTTATTATAACCAACTATCAAATAAGTATAAGAAATTAATAAATGAAATAATGAAATAAATAAATAAAAATAATAAATAATTGTAAATGATAATTAATTATATGTCATGTGGGTTCATCCTGATGGTGAAGTTGAAGAAGATGATAAAGTTGATATTGGTAGTGAAGACACCATGTAATCTAAACCAATACTAAGTGGTGGTGGTGATGATGATGATTGTGTTGTTACCCTGGTAACAGAAGGTTCTCTCCAGCATTAAGCTCCTGCAGGATCATATTTCGGAACCAAATTAGTCTAACTTTTGCTACAATTCTTTGAATTCCGAGACAGTAAATTAGTGGTAGTTACCTTACTACGGACAAGTAAGCAACATCAACTACTTTGAACAAGATACAACTCCTTGTTGCTACTTAATAATATTCTCCATTTTCTCAAGTATTTTGACGGTCTTTGGGTTTTCGCGAATCATTTCACACAATACGTGGTAGTATTTAAACTTCGACTTGTATTTCCTTCGTTCAATAACATTTCAAGTTTTTGGTGCAGACTCCAAGGTCTAGTCATTCTAATACTATATCTTGCCATACACTAAATTCTCCTAAGGGTAGTATATTCAAAGCTACGTGGTTCTTGAGGAATGTCAACCTCTTGTAGATATCTCTTTAATTCTGATTGCTTCCTTTAATTTAGTTTTTGTTGGGATATCCATTTGAATAATGTGACACCTAGGGATTCCGTTATTATTATATAATGTGATCTTATTTATAGTTATAATGTTTGCCATTCTATGAACCCAAAATTTCTTGAAAGATTCTGAGAGTATCTCATCTTTTATATAATGTGGCAATACTCCATCTGTTGCAGCACATTCTGTCACCTTAAGAATCATCTTTTCATCTCTTCATGTGGTGATTGAAATTCCTGAATCATTATAATAATTAATATCTTCTGAATCCACAAGCGGAGTAATAAATCTCATATCTTTTAAAAATGCAGCAAGTCCTTTGCCATAATGTTCACAAATACCTGTACAAAGTACCGAGTCAAATGATACTATACTTCTAATCTGTGTGCAATAATAACTTCAACTAAATTTTTTAAATGTGATAGAATCTCAGATCCATAAAAATAACTATCTGTTGAACAATCTTGATTCCTGTATGTCTAGCTCGTAATGTTGTTTACTTTTACATGTTGCTTTCAAAAATGGTAATAATGCAGGAATACTGTGTGCTGATGCTACAACCGAAAATGCTTTTGCTGTGGTGTTTCTAACATGTGCATCAATAAATAAAATGTTTACTTATTATATTTTATTAAAAATATATGCATGTATTATATTTATGCTGAAATTGAAGCTCTCGAGCTTTGTAAATGACTATCTTTATTTATCTGGCACCATTAAGTGTGCTCGCAGATTCGTCTAGGCCCAAGAAAGAGGGAACCAAAGTAGATTTGTAAACTAGTAAATTGACAATCACCAAATTATTCGCAATTAACCAACAAGATTTAACCCAAATAATTGTTAATTAACCGAAATGATGCCACAATTTAACAAGAATCAAAAAATTGTAAAAAGTTTATTATTCACAACATTATTATAATTTAGCTTTAAGAAAATAAAATAAAGATAAAATAAAAAGATAAATAAAAAGATAACGAATAATTTATAGTGGAGATTAAATTAGCCATTCATCGATTCCTTCTTTTTATTATCAGAATATAATGTAAATAAAAAGTATTGTTAGTAATGATTAATGAATAGTAATTTAATTAATTAATAGTGAAATTTTATTTACCTTTGTTAATATTTAGAGAAAGGAGTTACAATCAAGATTATTTAACGAGCTATTACTTGTATGAATTTTTAAGCTTCTAGATTTAGCAATCTCTTCATCTAAGATTCTACTTCTATGATATGCATCTGGGTGTGGTTTGTGTGCTTGTTGTGAAGTACTACTACCACTACTAATAGTATTATTACCATTATCATCATTATTATTTTTAATAATTTCGTTACGTTTATTTCTAGCAAAATTATAAAGCTCTCCACTAGTTGGTCTTTTTGATGGATCCACATCCCAACATCTCTGCATCATTTGTACATAATCATCAGGCATTCCAGATAATATTGGTGGTCGTAAGCCTTCTGCACATATATCAAAAATCAAGCGATGATCGTGAGCTCTATCATCAAATGGTGGATGTCCTGCAAATATTTCCCATATTAACATCCCAACACTATTAATATCTGTTTCTTTGGTGTTCTTTGTGTTATTGCCTCTAAGTAGCTCGGGTGCAACATAAGATACAATTCCATAAACTTTATTTGATGATTCGTCATCAACTGGTCCACATAATCCTAAATCTGTAATATAACAACTACCTACTTGCACAAGTATATTACCACTATGTAAATCACAATGGATTAAATCTTTTTCATGTATCTGATATAATGCCCAACATAAATAATGAAATATACTAATTCTGTCTTTTAATGTTAGATTTAAATGATTATTTTGTAAATAATCCCTTAAATTTCCTTCTGAATGATAATTTAAAACAATTGCATAATTTCCATTATCTGGGAATTTAGTTATACCATAACATCTAACAATCGACCCTGATTTAATTTTACAATAATTCATTGCCTGTAATTAAATATAAAATCAATTAATATTTATTATATAATACAGTATTGTTTATTTGTTTAAATGACAACTACCAACCTCATCAAAAAAGGCTTTTCCTGGATTACTTGAATTATTTAAACTTTTTAATACTACTTCTTGCTCTCCAAAATAATTAAATTCCTTTGTATTTTCGTTGTAATCATTAATACTTCCTCTTATCCATCCAGCAGTAAAAATCGAACTAAATCCACCTTCTGTCAACTTTGTAATATCATCAAATTGCTCAAAAGGTATCCATTCTAAAACATAGCTTGGCAGAGATGATTTCATTTGACATTGTTGAATAAAATCATCAATTATGTTATTTCCAGATGTCCAAGTGGTGAAAAGACTCTGTAATTTTAAACTAATACAACCTTCACAGAATTTATCAGAATATCTTGTCAATTTACACTTGTTACATTCTTTTGGTTCGCCCCATTTATTTCTTGCATTTCTTAATTCAAACTCATAAATAAACTTTTCTTTACAATATTCTTTTTCATTTTCAGAAAGCCCCTTGTTTTCTTCGACTAATGAAAAAAAATAATCTTTTCTACTTTCTATACCAGAATTATCTACTGCAATACTAAGAATTTCAATATAAATTTTAGATACAAATTCGTTTCTTTCTGATGATAATGATAATAATAGTTTAGCATGTGACATTATATAAAGATATAAAATATAAAATTCAACTTGGTGTTTTTAATATTAATATGAACATGAGATTTTTTGAGAATAACGATTGGTTACATTATTTCCTTTTTCTTTGCGGAGAATTTAACAATTTTTTCGTACAAACATTTTTTAAATTTGATAAGAATGTAAATTGAAAAGCGAAAATGTATGGTTTTAAAGAACAACTTCATCATCACCAAGCTCTAGTGATCGATTTATCATGATTCAACAATAAAGGATATCAGCATTTAAAAGTGATAAAAATAAAAAACAAAATTAAAACTTACAAAAATATGTACCAAGTACCAATATTGATCAACCTATGTTGCTTCAAACTCAGACACTAAAAACAATCTAAGCACATTATTAATATTATTACATATTACTATTACGCGTAGTTAACTCCAGAATTCAAAACATCAATTTAACACAACTCATAAGTATGTAAAGACAATTTGATATATGAAATGTATTAATAAAAGAATAGTCTTAATTTGTAAAAAAGAAGAGGAATTTTTATTTTGAAAGAAAACATATGGAAAAAACAAGTAGTTTAAGTAAATTTTTCCCATGATAATTATTATTCTTGCATCATTCCAATACACATACAATGATACAATTATTCTTTATTCATCCCCGGGACACATTTTTAACTTTTGATAAACCTATTTTATCATTATCATTATTGCTACTTGTAACAAGTGTCTTTACTTGTATCAAGCGTTTTTACTTACATCAAGGGTTTTTAATTATGTCAAGTGGCCTTACATCAAGGGCTTTTACTTTAGTCAAATCATCAAAATGGCCCTGGTGAGAAACTACCTTTAGACAATATTTTAGTTACGTCAATGGCTAAAGTCAAAAGTTTCGTCATACATCATTACTACCACTACATAATCAACTAAGTAAATTATATTAGTATTAGGACAATATTGATTTAATGATCTTTTGTAATCTCACAATGTAATAAAAATCAGCAACAATCATTTACTTTACCTTCACCTAAAACATTATCAGGTGATAAATTGGATGTTACAATAAGTTTAGTAGACACAAAAGTAATTTACATATTCATTGACTTTTAAAAATTAACTTATTACATAGATTGTTTTTTATTTTTTTCTCTCTCTACTATGAATTCAACTAAAGAAAGTTACTATTGTTTAAAAAGTAAATTAAAATTCAAATCTAATTATAATAATAAAATTAATTAATTTGTTTTTCTCTTTTTAGTAACACCAAATCTTAATTTTTGCTTTGCAAAATCTGCATTTTTACGTTTACGATTTTGTTTTTTCATTTCGTTCCTTTTTATTTTACGTTTTGCTGCATATTCAGGATCAATTATTGCCTTATAATAATAATAATAATAATAATAATAATATTTTATTAATTTGAAAAATTATCAATATAAATATAAATAAATAAATAAATAAATATAAACATATATTACCATCATAACTTTTTTCTTTTTTCGTTCTCTTCTTACTTTCATAATATTTTCTTTGATCTTATTATAAAAATTATGATATTGTGTCACTCCAACTTGTTTTTGTATTAAATCAAGAACTTCTTTTCCAAGCTGTTTAATATTATCTATTAAAATAAAGATTGGTTTAAATAAAATGATCAATAATATAGCCATAATGTAGGTAGTCATACCAGCATAAAATATAATGCATATGTTTTTGAAAATAATTACCAATTTCTTGTCCTTTAATTGTCTCATCGTTGATGAATCGATATAGTGGAGAAATCATAATAATTAAATAAGGTACTAAGTCTCCTGGTGCTATTGATGTTGCCATTGCAGCAAACCACTGATAAATACTTAATCTCTGTAAAAGAGGAGAATAACCAAACCCAAACAAACAAATATTTAAAATATTTAATTAGTTGATTAATTATTTTCCAGCTGCAGTTAAAATATAAATTACCTGGAAATCTGTATCATCAGGTTTTAATGAGGCAAATCTAACTTGATATGATAGCCTTTTAAATAACCAATACAAAGTTGGTTTTAAATTTTCATTTTTTTTATTCGATTCATCATGGTCAATTTTCGTATTGTTTTTGTCCTCAGTATTAATGGTCAATTTATCAATTTCAATTTTTTCCTCCCCATCATCATCATCATCATCATCGTCGTCGTCGTCGTCGTCGTCGTCGTCGTCGTCATCATCATCATTATCTTCCTCTTCCTTATCCAAATCATCGTGATTTATCTCCACATCATTATCAATCATATCACCTTTTAAATAATAAAAACATTTACCAATAAAAAGCAAATTTTTTACAATTTGTGTTGCCAACTCTTTTCCTAAGGATTCATTTTTTAGCTGATCACTAAATTTTATAGCAAGTTTTTTGAGTGTATTTCTGTCCAAATAATCACATTTGATATTAGTTCCAGCCATAATCATGGTCTCTGGATTAATATTTGAAAAATAGGTTCCAAGCAATTTGCTTGATGAAAGTTGAATTAATACATGTGGATAAAGAATATGTTTGTCAATTAGAGACCAGATAACTTTTGTTTTTTCGGAATAAACAACGTAAGGGAAGCTTTTTACAAGTTTCGTAAATGTACTTAAAGCATAATATCTAACTTCCCAATCAATATCAATATCAATATTCATACTATCATCGCCGTTAGACTCGATAACAGCTGTTGTGGATTCAAATAATTCTAAACTTATATTCAAAGAAGTTTCCAGCATTTCCAGCAATTCAGGAATATGTTTTTTAAATTTATCACCAAAAGCTTCAATGACCAATCCATAAACCTGAAGTGACATTCTTTGCAAACTTTTATTCTCCAACTGGTCAAACCATTTCTTTAATAAAACATAAACGTTCTTTAACCGTTGTTCATCCATTTTTTTTAATAATAATTTAATTAAAGCACTAGACATTTCACCACACTTATCCGATTCATCATTCACCAATGACATGACTAACTCCAAGAAAAATAATTCCGCGTATTCCATTAAAATGTCATTACTAAATTTGGTGAATATTAAATTGAGCATTTCCATCACTGATAATCTACCATTCTCAAAAGTATAATTAAGATTTTTTATTAAAAAGTTTATTTGATTTTTTAATCTGCCGCGTCCTTGAGGATAATCCATTAAGAATTGGAATAATAATTGTCTAGATAGATCTCTAGTCGTAGCTGCTTGGCTTGTAACCATTATTTCAGAAATTGTTTGCATCAAATCATAAATTTCCGGCATTATAAATTTACGTGATATTATCGCACGAATAAGCGAAAATGTTGTGCTTTGTCTTTGAGGTTCTTCAATATCTGGTTTAATCAAATCAATAATAAAAGCTAAATGACTTTCTTTGAATTCGATTTTTTTACAATCACGTATTATTACTGTCAGTAATTTAAAACAATTTTGCACTAATTCTGTACTGGTATTATCTGAAGATCTTATAAGAACAAAAGTTTGTTTTATAATCGCTGGCATATCAGATTCCAATGATTTTAATTTAAGTTTACAAAAAATACAAACTATTTTTATTGCAAAAATGTTGATTGATTGGTGTTTAGAACACATTGCATTTCCAATGATCCTCACCAATGGTTCTATCATTTTCAATTGCTCTTCTGAACTTGTATTAAATTTGTTGCGTTTTAGCGCTGCTAAAAATATCGACAATCCAAATTCTACAAATCTGTACGAGTTCACATCAAAGTAATCCATAGGATTATTCATATTACGATTAAGCTGAACAGTATAATTTATTTCCATGTCACTTTTATGAGTTTTGACTTTCAAACTTGATTTCGAAATTTCAAGATTCTCTGATACAAGTCCACGGCAAAATACTATCATTTCTTCATTATCAAATTTTGAATTTGAATTCAATCCAATTGCTAATTTCTGTAAAAGATCGTCAACTTTACGAAGAACCTTTGCATTCTGAGTTTCTCTCAGCACTTCTTTAAGCGGAATCAACAAAACTCCTATATTTTTAAATTCTATAATTTTACCTAAAAGTTCAAAAGTGTTGAAACTTTTGTTTGTCTTCATCTCTTTTACTTTTCCGGTTATTTCTTCTGCGTCTTTTTCTTCAGCTACAGCTCCAAAAACTTCATTGATTATAATGTCAACTATTGGTTGTAAACAATCATCTATTTCCCCCACTTGTAGGTTAGGAATCAGATCTACTAACAACGAATTTAAGGTATATCCAAGAATATGTAATTGATATCCCTTAGTCAACGCAGCTTTTAATTCTTTAACAATAAAAGAAAAATATGTAGAACCGAGGTAACTAGAAATTTTGATAAGAGTGCCGCGCGTAACATCACGGACTTCTTGTTGACGAATCCTAAGCATCTGACAAATTGTGGTAAGCAACCCTGGCAAATTACGACGAAGTGATACTTCTGGTAAAGCTTTTAAAAGCTTGGTGATGGATAATGCTATAGGCACCCTAATTATAATTGTTTCATTATCACATTTGGTCAAATATTGTTTAAGCTCAGGAAATAAGCGATTTAATATGGTATTATGAATTTTAGTTGATAAAATATTTGTTTCGCCCTCATTCTCATTTTCGTTTTCATTCTCGTTTTCATTCTTGTTCTCTTCATCAACATCAACATCAGCATGAACACTAACATCAGAGATGTCAAAATGAAAGTTATCCAAGATGGCAACGATTGTTCTAACCAAAACCTTTTCTAATGCTGTTTTTCTTGGAATCAATCTCATATAATATTTTAAAAGTGAATAATAATGGCCCCACGGAAGCTGACTTGCAATTGCGCCCAATGCAGCTATAGTCTCATTAATAAGTAAATGATCACTTATTCTATCTGATTCAAATATGAAATGACTGATGAGTGGTGAAAATATTTGTACCAGACTTCGACTTGTTAAATTTCCAGCAATACATTCATTTGAAAATCTTTTAAGTGCGCGGATACGTCGATGTATTTGTATATGGTGAATATTATTGAAGAAATTCGCTTCTTCATCATCAAACAAAAGACAACTCATATCCGAAAATTGAGGACTCGTTGAACATTTTTTTACAGTATAAGATAAGATTGTAAGAAATTCAACCCGAATCAACTCATTAGACAATCTCATTCCTTTTTTGATTGAAGGATAAATCACGTGAATCAAAAGATTTTGTAATTGTTCTTGTTTTAATTTCTCGTCATCACTGGTTGGATTTATCGATTCATTTACGGAATCGATAAATTTTGTTAAACAAAATGATGAATTGTTTCTGATTGAAAACTCCTCTGGATCTTGTATGAAAAACAAAAAATTGTGAAGTAATGGTAGCCATTGCATTGTATTGAAGTTTTTGTATAGCTCTTGATTGATTCTGCTAAAAGCATCCAACCTCTTTCCAAAATCGGGTTCATCCAATCTTTTTTCCGAATATGAATTAAGATCGTCAATAATTTTTACAACGTCAATTAAAGAATGATCTAATTTTGAAAATTCCAAAAGTATTTTAACCAAAAGAATTCTACACTTTCGTGAAGACAAAAATTGAAACTCATGTGAAATATAATTATAGTAGTTGGTAAATAGCTCTGTGTGAGGTATGAATCCAGGTATGATAGGTAAAAAGTTGATAATGATTTGTAAAATATTTGCTTTAATATCCTCATTAATAATTTGAGAAGACTTGCGAGTATTTGGTAATAAAAGATCCACCAATTTCCTTGCTTGGTCACCATTATTTACAAATGCCGCAATTTTCGATAATATTATAATTTCTCTTTTGGAAAATGCGTCTTTTCCCAACGTCGTATTCTGGCTTGATTTCAAAAGAGAATATTCCAAATTATCCAAAAGCGATGAAATATGAGGTAACAATACTTTGTTGGTTAATGCATTTTCTAACCGTTGAGTTCCTTCATTTTCATCGATAGCAGTGTTATTATTCATTTCATCCTCACATATCTTTAGAATGTTTTCAATGATATCCAAAACAATTGAAACAACAGAATCACGAACTTTTTTAGCAGAAAGACATGCAAAAATTTTTGGTAATACCTCATTGTTATAGTTAACCAAAAACGGCAAGTATTCTTTTCGTGATGACCATACTGCAAATAGTTCCATTAAGGCAGAAGGTGCTTGAGTGCTTTCAACGTTTAGTTTTGGAATTCTTGAATTTATAAAATCTTCAAACATGGCATTAAGGAATATTTGATAATTAAATGATACATGTAATTTGAAGAAACCTGTGATTCTTTTAATGCCTTGTTGTCTTAAAGCTTTGTATTTTTGAACTTGATTATTATTAATATCTTGATAACTTTCATTGGTGTTTAAAAATTTTTGGGAATCATGAATAATATATAATACTACTTTGAACATGTCGGAGATAAATGGTAATAGATAAGATCCCAACTGCTTTAGTATGTCATCTAGAAATTGCAAATATCCAATTTGTTTTCTAAATGGAACGTGCCTTCCCAAGTCCAAATCAGTGAAAGGTTCTAATAGCAAATCTATCAAAAATCTTAACTCAGATTCCTGACAATTTATTAATGCTGATAATACAGCAACTCTACGAGCACCCATACCGGTCTTAGAAGATGTTTTTCCCTTCCTATCTATCATTCTACCATATAAAATTCTAATAATTATAGGCATAACTTCGGCTCTGTGTGCAAACTCAATGGTGCTATTGTCTTTGCTTAAAGAGAATGTGGATAGTTCATCCCTAAATTTTGTCTCGTCAACTAAATTCTTAATATTATCTTTATAGGGAGCAATTCCTTTATGTTTCCATGAAAATATGCAATCTAAAGCTAGTGCTTGAATTTTAGCATCACCTAAAATTAATAATCTCAAGTAGTTACTTTGTAATTGACTTGACTTAAATACTGCTTTGGGATTTTTGAATTTGGAAAAAAGTTGTAAAAAAAGCATCAATTTCTTTTTAGTGTTTTGTGGAACCTGAACTGAACTTTTGTTTTGCAAATCTTCTTTATTATTACTATCAGAAGTTTCATCATCATCATCATCATCATCCAAAACGTCATCGTATTCGGACTTGGTAAACTGGAGGAAAAAGGGTACAAACTGTTTTGAATGTTGCTCGACAATATGGGGTACTTCAATAAGGGTTTTAATCAAAAGATTATAATAATTCCAGTGGTCAAATCTTTCTTGTTCCGGATCACAAACCTAACAAGTATATAAATATTAACACATTAAAACATTGGAATATTGAAATGTTTTAAACATTAAATGGTTAATATAAAGAACATTTTACAAACCGTGACAAAAAGCATAACACAATTTTTAATAAAATCTTTATTAAAATATAAATTTGCCTCCTTATTGTTGTTATTATTATTATAGATTCCAATAACTTTTTCTGAAAATCCAGGATTGAAAAAAATGGTTTCCTCATTAAATTTAGAAATTTCATTATAAATAATACTCCAAAAAGTCTTTGGGTCAACTTGAGCAACTGTGATTAGAAGATTCGTTGCTTCAGTCCATATCGCGCTAAAATTTATTGTAAATAAGCCTATGACAATAATACATATGTATATTTAATGTTTGTAATGTCAAAAAATTTAAATAATCAAATTAAACAATGCAATACCTAAACATAATAACGGAATCACTTCAGAATAAAAATCAGGAATTTGCTTAGTAGATGCTAAAGTTCCTAGTCTTTGGAGTTGAATTATTTTTTCACGATACGATGAAAATGTAGTTTCAACCTCTTCAACATGGAGGGCTAAATCAAAAATATGACACAATCCTGTTATGCTATTTCCTCCTCTATTTCCTTCTACAGGCTTAAGATCAAATTGATCGAATAGATTTAATATTTTTAATGTGTATAGTCGTTTGTGATGGGTACGAGAGGAAATATTATGCTTAATATGTGGGTAGATTTTTTGTAAAGAATCAGTGCTAAACCTAGTTTTATTCTTATTTGAACTAATTAAAATTAATTGATATGAATATTTATTTTTTTGATAAAATGAAATTATAAATAAAAATCAAAAAAAATCTTACTGTTTCCGTAAAAATTCTAAATATTTCATAATCCCACGTAATACAACTTCATTAGTTCCATATCCTATCAATATATCATTAATCATAATATCCCATAAATCACTTAAATCATTCTCAGAAGTACAACAAGTCTCTACCAATAATTCAATTGCTTGACCCAATAAATATTGAAGAATGTAAAATGGAGATCCGTTGGTGACTGGTCTTTTTAGTAATGGGGAAAATAAATTATCAGACAATTGAAGGCAATTAACCAAATTCTTAATTAGCGACACCAATGAATCATATAACACTTGTTTTGGAGCAGTAACATGCTTTAAAATTGTTAAAGATGCCGAGATAAGTGCCAGTAATGGAACTTGATCAGATTCCTAAAATATAACATAAAAAGGATTATATTATTATTATATATATATATTAAAAAGATTATAAATAACATTCGAGTAGATAATTTTTGTATATACTACTAACCAAATCCAAGTCAAGCATACTAAACTTTTCTACTTCAGTAACCCAATCATAATTTTGTTGGATTAATTTCAACAACTCATCTGCAGGATTATGGGTTTCTTCAGTATTGCTATCATCAATTTTTTTCTCTACATAAATATTAGGAAAATTTATTAAATTATCTTTTGTTATATAAGATGAAATTGTTCCTGGAGAAATTGAAAAGTCTTTTGTGGAAAATAAATAGGAAAGAAAGATTATAATTTTCGATGAATGTGACATCCAGTGCTTTGAACAATAACTAATTAAAAAAAAATTAAATTAATCAATCAGTCAATCAATAAACAAATATTAATTCATCTCAAAGTCCTTTTTATTATTACTTACCGAACAATATATGGAGTCATAATTTTTGTATAATGTTCCCAATTATTATTAGCTAGTTCCAGATAAAAAGCCAATACATGTTCAACGTCCTAAAATAAAAAATTGAATCAAATTCTATTATATTAATAATTTTATATTGAAAAAGAAAAAAAATTTATATACAAGCATACGTTATATTCAAATATTTTATCTAATAAGGTTTTTCCCGAAACTAAAACATCACTGAAATTTGATAAAGTGATCAAAGCCGCGCATGTTTTAAAGTATTGATTTTGAAAAAAATCCCAATTATTCGATTTTTTTGTAGATGAAATGAATCTGATTTTTGAAAGTTGTATTATTATATTGAAAATTGATTTGAAGTCTAAATATAAAAATCAATTAATGAATAAATTATATGAATGGATATAAAAATCTCGAATATATTATCTTGATAAGATTAATAAAATAATTTTTAACTTACCATTAATACGACTACCCTTTCGAACTGTTAAACAAACGTAAATATATGACAAAACCATCCCTATTTCAGAGATATCATCCATTCTTGAAATGTTGCCATTTACATTTCCTCCATTAAGATTATAATAATTTTCATCAAAATTCTTAATCAGGATTTCCAATCTATTCAAATATAAATTTAGAATCGGCACGAAACTTTCTTTTTTACTATGATGAAGAATAGCAATTGTTGTCTTTGTGAAAATAATATGGCACGGATATTTTTCTAACGGATGTAAATAAATTTTATAAATGTAAAATTGGTTATCGGACTATTTATTAGACATATTTCTAATTTTCACCTCAAACTTCCATACCAGCATTATCAAATCTCATTAAATCTTGATGACAAACATCTAATAATTCTCTTAGCAGTATCGTGCCCTTTGAACGGATTTTATTCTCTGAAGACTATAAAAAAAAAATTATCTAATTTAATAATTACCTAAATTGATTTGTTTAATCTAAATATTAATACGAATGTACCTTGATTGTTTCACAAAATAACATGCTTAAACCTTCATAGTAAACATCATTTGGAGATGCGTTGGCTGAATCAATAATGAATCTTATTATATTAGTGAGTTTATCATCTTGAGCCTTGCGCAATAAATAAGCAAATGCTTCAGCAGCAAAATGTTGTATATAAGGTTTTTGATATTCTTTGCCTAACAAAGGAGCCATCAACCTAAAATAAATCAATATTTTAAATAAATTTTTTCATTGATTAATCAAGTAATTGGCTATAATACATACTTAAAGGTAGAACATAAATTATCAGTCACTTGTTTTAATAAATATTTAAATAAATATGCAATGCAATTAAATGTCCACTATCATGTAATAATAATAATATAATGGTTAGAGGTTAATTTTTAGAAATAGAAAGAAATTATAATCATATCAATAAATCAAACCTCTAACGTTTCAACATTTCTATGTTTTGTAAGAGGTAAAATGACCGTGATTATTCTTTCAAAAAAAGGATAAAAATCAAGTTCTAAATCTCTTGCAAATTTCGTAACAAGACTAAGTATACGTTTAAAAAAATTAGCCTTTTTTGGAAAAAAAATAAAATAAAGATTAAATATTTTATAAATCTAATATAAAATAATTTACTCCAATAATGGCTCTAAAGCAAGACTATTTTCCACTTTAAGATGTTTCTCCAAGATTTCTACAATCTTTTCTTTATGATATAATAGTTGAGGCAATGATTGACAGTAATTTGAAATTTCACGAGTAAATGCTTTGAAATGTAATGTAAGGTTGAGTTCTTTCCATGATTCTAAAGATTCTCCAAAGTAAGTACCAATACCCTAGAATTTTGAAAATATATTAGATTTTTTATTTGATTATTGATTGAGTGACTGCTTTATAAATTATGTGAGTAAAAAAAAAAATACCTCTGGTAATTCTTTTTCAAGAGTCTTTTTGTTACTATGTGATACATCAATCTTTAAATTTTCTACGCGAGTTTTAAAGGATTGATACTGGAATATATATATGTATATATTTTACACATTTAGACTTGCTTATTATTCATAACAAAAAAAAATATATTTATAATTTACTTTATAACGGTTTTTGCCTTCATTTTTATTTAATTCTTTAGCAATTATATTATCTTTCATTTTGAGTGATTTTTTAATAAAACAAAAAAAAAATAGATCAAAAAAAATGAGTATAAATGAATTAGCCAATTAAATTACAGATCAAATAATCATATAATAATAAAAAATAAACACGAATATAATAATAACGAATAATAATAATAATAATGAACACGAGAAAAAAAACAAAACTTTCAAATAATGCTATTGATCTTACGCGTAAAATTTTAAAAGAGAGATTATCGGAAAATTTTATTCCAGAGAAGTTGATAGGTTTAGAACAACATTACCAGTAAATATATGATATAAACCATAAAAAATACATAATTGTAAATTTGCAAGTAAATATTTACTTATCATACTTTTTGATAGAGAACTTTATGTGTGTTTGCAACGAACCATTACAAACAAAGAGAATAGCTCTTCCATTATAACAGGTCCTATTGGATCGGGAAAGAAAACGGTAAAATCTTTTAGTTTTTAAAATTAAAATGAAAATAAAGTATAATTTAATAATGTTTTCTTGTTTTATGTAGATAGTTAAGAAAGCAATATATGAATTAGAAAAGATTTATAAAGATGATTATATTTGTATAAAACTAAATGGATTAATTCAAACAACCCAATCTTCAGTTTATAGACATATAGTACGTCAACTAGGAATTGTTGAAAAAGGTGTTGTGAGTAGAGAATTTAACATGCATATATTATTATTAATAAATAATATCATTAAATTATTATAAATATTAATTTATTATAATTAAAATAATATAGGATGCAGAAAAAATAATAGCTGATTTAGATCATGGAGAATTTGTCACAAAACCTTTAATATTTATAATTTATAATTTTGAAGAGTTGAAGAAACATTGTACCGATAAATTTATTAATAATTTATTGGGTATTGTATTTAGCAAGAGTTGTTCGGTGTCTTTAATTGGAATAACAAATAACGCAGTAATCATCATTATCATTATTGTTATTATATTATTATTATATTATTTATTTTGAATAATAATTTTATTTTTACGATAATATGAAATCAGAAAATTTTTTTAGAGTTGCCACATATCACTCGACCTTATATTAATTTGAATCGTCTTGAAACCATTGAAGACTTTAAAGAATTAATCAAAAATTTATTAAAAATTGATAATTCATTAATTCCTGATGCAAATTATTGCAGCATGTTTAATGATAAAGTTCAAGTAAGTCTATATTAAACATATAAATAAAAAATCTTTTTTTTTATCACTATTATTTAATATCAAGATATATATATATATAAATAAATAAATTTATAGGAATTATTGAAAACTGAATCTTTTAAGAAGATTATAAAACAAATATTTGATTTTTCAGCTGATGTTATAAGAAGTTTTTATAAAATATGCGCAAGTATTTTTAAATTATTATTATTATTATTTAAAAAAGATTATTTTTTATTAATTAATTGTAATTATGGAATTAGTTTGATCCGGTGTGTAAACTATCGATTGATTCGCCTTTCCTTGTGTTGGAAAATTTTATTCAATCTGATTTAGATTATGGAATTAAATTTAATGATATTCTACAAGGTAATTTATATATATTATAAATTTTTTTTTGAAATTTCGCAATGTTTTTTATTTATTGTATTTATTTATATATTATATATTTGGAATAGATTTGTCTCAAACACAAATTTGGATATTAATTGCCATAAAATCATTAATTCTTCTTCGTGATCGTGACACTTTTAATTTTGAGATAGTTTATGATGCTTGCTACGATTATGTTAGAGGTCATACAAGCAATAACATATTATTAAAAGAACATATTGTTTTAGCAGAATATGAGTTTTTACACTCAAGAGGACTATTGGAATATGTGGCGGATAAAGAAAGAAATCCCTCAAAAAGATTAATGATGTCAAGAGTTTTGTTACTTCCTAATCAAATTTCTGATATTGTTGACAATAAGATATAACGAAATTGTCTAACTGTATATTTCGAGAACGATCATCAATAAATATTAAATTTTACAAAAAAGGATTTTGCTGTTTCACGAAAGTATAGAAATACTCAATATTCAACGATGAATTATGAATACTGAATAGCGTGAGCGATCATTTTTTTAAACGTGATTTTTGTTAAAATTTCAAGATGTTAGTTGTTAGAAATACTTTTAATGATTGTCGCCTTTAAAAAAAAATTTTTTAAAGGCGGGTTCAAATCCAATCAGGGTTGACTGCTATTGCCCTCGTCAATGCTGTAGATTAGACGATCTGCCTTTTAGCTCGAAATTGTTAAAAATCTGGTTGAAATTCTCAATTTAATAATAATAATAATACCTTTTTATTACCACATAAATTTTTTGATAAATATCGTAAAGAAGAATTTTATTGAGACTGATAACGCCAATATTTATTAAGGACAGTGAGACATCTTTATTCTGAAATAGAAAAACAGTATCGAAATCTTTACCTTTTCCCAAATAACAAAATACAAAAACATTGATGATGATTATAAAATAAAAATTTCAAATACGGGGGAAAAAGGCTGCTTTGAACGATAGAGATTAATGAAAGCAAAAAAATTATGTGAAGAGAAAATATTTGTTTATGAAAGAGATCATATTTGTGATTTGGGGGTATGCATAATTCTAAATCGGATCTTTTTATGGACCTACACTTTTGTGTTAAAGAGTATATATTAATATATGCATCTTAAAATGACATGTATAGCAGATATGAAAGATCGCTTTATTTTTGGTGGTGGTATACGGGGAAAGTTCCGATAATATTTTGACAAAAAGAATTTTTGCGAGAAAACGAAGAATCCAACAATGTAAATTTTGATTGGACATGATATTGCAATGGAACTCTAACCCCAAACAGATATATAGAACTGTATTTCATTATTTAGTTCTATTTATCCCTTGATATTTGCTCGTAGAGGAGTGCATTTATAGCACCTATATTAAAAACTTTCTTTTTTAATTTAACTTAAAATCAAATAAAAACAAAAAGTTTAACATACTTGCATGGACCAATAATAGTTCTCAGTGAAATATTAAAATCACAAACAATCTCTTCCTCCCTTTTACTTTTTTTTTTCACGTTCATAACTATGTTTTGATTGTTGTAAAGCTATAACGATTCCAATTGGTATAGGATACCATTAAATTTCTGTTTTGTCCCATGCCTCTTTAATAGAGACTATATTAATAAAGAGAGAAAGAAAGAAAGATGTAGTTTAACAAATAATATAGTGATAGCGATAATAATGACTCTTAACTTGTGCTTTTATAAGTTATTTATGTACTTTAGTTGAATTAATAATTTTCTTTTGTCTTGTCTACAAATAAATTCCAAGTCATGTGCCACGAGTTGCAACTCGTCTTGATATTATTAGTACTTGAAAATGAGATTTCTTTATAATTATTTTGATTGAAAAAATCATAATGAGTAATTGAATACTTTTAACATAATTTCTAGTTACAAAATATTTGTAATGGTTTTATTAATGAATTCATGGTTTTTCGAATCGTTGAAGCTTAATTATCGAAAAAATAATATATTTTAAAAATGATTCCTTCGGCACCATCAAATACACATTCTCATTGTCGCCTTTTCCATCATTATTACTGTCACCATTATTATCAATCAAAACAACAAACAATTTATCCAACTTAATCATTACTCTAGCAGGAAAAAACCAAGAAAAGAATCATTCACACAACAAATTGTTTTTTTACGAATGCGGACAACATCACCTAAGCCATTAATTAAATTAATACGAAATACTTGTAATCATCCATTATTGAACCCTGAATCATTTTTTTCAAGTCATTTGACTGATGAAAGTGGACAATTGTCTAAATTTAAGAAAAAATTTAGTGAAATAAGTAATAAAAAATTTATTGATATGTATATATTCATTATAGTCCAGCTAGAAGTGAGGGTGAAAAGTTATTTTTTAACCCAATGTAAATAATTATTATTAAAAAATAAATTACAAATTTTTTTCTAAGCAAATTATTATTATGTTATGTTATCATTAACAATACCATCATAATAAGTCTTACATCTAAACTTTTAAAATTGATAAAAATCAATTGGTAAATTTCAAAAATAGATTTATTATCATTTATTCATATTTCTTGCAATCACAAGTAGTGTGACATAACAAACCACAATTTCTGCAAATATTTGATTTAGAATCGTTATCTTGTTCACTTGATTTAGATTTGGAATCGGCAGAATCATAAAAAGTGTTTACACGACTGTAATTTGCATTGCTACCAGATTCCTCTTCACTAGTGTTACTACCAACACTAACACGTTCTCTTTGTTTTTTCCAGGAATCAGAGTTTCTACCAGTGATGTTATTATTATAATTGTTGTGATCGTGATAACGATTTTTATTCTTTTGATTGTTCGAACCCCAACCATTATAATCAATATCATTAAAGGTGTCGGAAGCCCTATTATTACTATTATTATTATTATTTTCATAAGGTGATTGATAACCTGCAGTTAGTTTAGCAAATTTAGGGCTTCCGTTTAAATTACCATTATGATTGTAACTACGACCACGATTAACTTGGATATGGTTGGGATTTTGATTGTAATTTTTATTATTGCGATTGTTATGATTATAGCTTGGATTGTGATTGTAGTTGTTATAATTGTTGTTGGGATTGAAATTATGGCTGTAATTGTGATTGTAATTTTTATTGAATGAATTTATATTATCTTCTGTTCTACCACTGTATGATTCTCGATTATTGTTTCTTCTGACATTATTACCATCTCTATTATTGTTGTTTGCATTTTTGCTAGATTCACCTCTTTGAAATTGATTTCTATAGTCATTGTTATAATAATTAGAATTTTTATGTTGGTTGTAGTTGTTATTAGATTTATGATGATAGTGATTGGATTCTACATAATTACTATGATTTTTATTATTGTAATTATCGGTTCCTCGTAATTCTAATTCTGCTTCAAATTCCGCAGCTTTTTTCTTCCAATCTTCACTTCTATCATTATTGTAATTACCATCACTTGCATTATCGATAGCCTTGTATCTACCATTGTTATGATAACTATTGGTATTATCGTTAGTATTGTATCTATCATTGTTATAATAGCCATTATTATTATCGTTAGTCTTATATCTATCATTGTTATAATAGCCATTATTATTATCGCTAGACTTATATCTATCATTGTTATAATAGCCATTATTATTATCGCTAGTCTTATATCTATCATTTTTATAATAGCCATTAGCACTATCGCTAGTCTTATATCTATCATTGTTATAATAACCATCACTTGCATTAACATCGTCACTAGCTTTATAGTTGTTATAACTTTTTGTTTCAAATTCTTTCTGATAAGCTGCTGATTGGGACTCCCAATTCCAACTATTATTGTCATCAAATTTATCAGCCGGACCCCATCCATCATTGCTATTACTTTGAGATGATGACTTATTCGATCGAGGAGTTGTGGCAATATTTTCATCAGTCGAGACAATTTCATTATCTTTCATCGCCAAAGATGAACCTGGTCCTTCTTTAATCATCGGCTCACTTTCATCAATTCCCATCATTAAATTCGAACCCGATCCTTCTTCACTTATGTCATTTGAATGTGATGCTTGATTGCCATCAAATCCTTCATCTATTTTTTCGGTAACATTAGATAAACCTTCAATGTTGTTATTCGTAACAACGGTTAACGAGCTAGGTTCAACACCACCTTGGTTACCAATACTTTTATTACTCATGTCACCAATAAAATTATTATTACCCCAATTATCATCAACAAAATTATTATTACCCCAATTATCACCATTATTATTGCCCCAATTATCAACACTAAAATTATTACTACCCCAATTATCAGTTAAATCACCAATCGAGTTATCAATTATTTCAGCACGGGTATCACCAGCAATATTGTCACTCGTTTCACAAATCTTTTCATTACTCGTTTCATCAGCAATATAGCCACTTGGTTTATCAATAGTTTCACTATTCATATCATTAGTAATAATGCTACTTGGTCCATCAATTATTTCATTGTTTGTATCAGTTGTAATAATTTCACTTGGTTTATCAATTATTTTACTATCCATATAATTAATAATAATTTCACTTGGCTTATCAGTTATTTCACTATTTGTATCATCCGTAATAATTTCACTTGGTTTATCAATTATTTCCCTATTTACATCATCAATAATAACTTCATTTGACTTATCAACCATTTCACTGTTTGTGTCAGCCATAATAACTCCATTTGATTTATCAATTACTTCATTATTTGTATCAGTAATAATAACTTCATTTGATTTATCAATTATTAGGCTATTTGTATTAGCAATGACAACTTCTAATTCATCAAGTATTCCACTATTTGTGTCAGCAATAACAACTTCTAGTTCATCAACTATTCCATTATTTGTATCAGCAATAACAACTTCTGGCTTATCAATTATTTCATTGTTTGTATCGGCAATAATAATTTCACTTGTTTTATAAATTAATTCATTATCTGTATCAGTAATAATAAGTTCATTTGATTTATAAATTATCTCATTATCTGTATCAACAATAATAAGTTCATTTGATTTATCAAGTATTTCACTATTTGTATCAACAATAATAGCTTCTGGATTATTAATTATTTCATTATTTGTATCAGGAATAATAACTTCGTTCGGCTTATTAATTATTTCAATATTTGTATCAGGAGTAATAATTTCATTCAGCTTATTAATTATTTCATTATTTGTATCAGGAATAATAACTTCATTCAGGTTATTAATTATTTCACCAGTGATGGTTTCATCATTCACTCCTGTACTTATTTCGCCAGTAATAGATTCGCTTGTTCCATCATTGATCTCTATGCTCATTTCATCAGTAATATTAATTTCATCGAAAACCAACTTATCCTCTTCTATAAATCAGAAAAAAAATAAATTTATTATTTATTTATTTTCATAGGAATTCAATAAACATGATACTATAATGGATGAATGAACGACACCTTTCAAATCATTAGTGTTAGAAGAAGTCAGTGATAATGTTGAAAATTCAGAGTAGATTTCTTTGCTAGTGGTGGTAGTATATATGATGGTATTTGTTTGAGTTTCTTTATTAACGATATCATCAGTTAAATTATATTCTTCTTGTGATGATGATACAGGCATGGTTTCTTCAATATTTTCAGTATCTTCGAATGTGGTAATGGTTTTTGTCGTGATTGTTGTTGTATCGATGTTAGTAGCATCAATAGTGGCTTTGCTTTGTTGTTGTATTTCCATTATGACTTTAATCAAATGGTCTAGATCAAGAGAATCCTTTTGTTCTAAAATTAGCGCAATGATATCAATACGGTCGGTTTGAACTTCTACAGAATCATAAGTTATTATCTCTGTATTGACAGCAGTATCGATATATGTCTTGAGTTCTGTATTTACGGCAGCATCACAATACGTTGTTCTAGCATTACAAGTCATATTTCAATATTTTTACTTATATAAAGGTATGAATGATTATAAATTTAATATTTTTTTTTTTTTGAAATTAGGTTAAAAAATAATAAAAAAAATTTTTTTACAATAATGTTTGATGGGAAGAATGATAAGTAAAATATTTATGGTTAGATTTCCTTAATTGAAAATTCCCACCTAAATTTTGATTCTGATTGGATATATATTTATATTGATAAAAATAAAAATATTTTTTTATATTAAACTGTACTAATCAATTTATTTAATAATATACCAATATATATATATATACAAAGAATGATAATAATTTGTATTACTCCCCCCCCCCTACTTTTTTTAAAAAGAAAAAAGAAGGCGAATCAAATCTTTGACTGACCGACCGACTTGATTGATCGATTGATCGATGGAAATTGCAGCCAGTATTTAACTGATCAGCTAATACTAACCCCAACTAATTCTACGGCTCAAAATATAAATGAATCTTATTAATATTAATAATTAATTCGATTGACTCATTATTCTAATTGAGTTTCTAAGCCACATCAAGTATTTTTCTTCCACATATCTATTCATATTAAAACTCTGTCTAATTTCACTTTAGTAATTGTAACAGCAGGTAAGTTGGTTATCGATACTATTGTTATTTTATTATTCAATATTTGTACATTGTTATAAATGTCTTGATCGATGTGCTTTTCGTCCATCTTGAATTGTGTTTTCAATCTCTCCTGTATCATCAGATTCTGAGAATATTATAATCATATAATACTCTTGAATGGCCATATATATATATATACGATATCGTAATGTTTTGTTGTTTATTTTAATGCATCACACGTCACAGAATTTATTGTCACTCTATATTATAGCAAACCTCTGTAATATCTATTAATATTTGCTTGTCATGTTTATTTTGGTAAAACATGAAAATGTGAGCAGTGAATTAACTTTTGTGTTATAAGATACTTCATTGTTCACTCTCTACAAGCAGGTTGATTGATCCTCGTGATGATAATTGAACATTGTGCACTATTTTTTCTATTTTTTCTATTTTTTTTTTACGATTGCATTCATGAAAGGTTTGATTAGTGAGATATCGAACTTCCAAGACGATAAATATTTTTATGAAATATGCCCATATCACTTTCTTCGAAATAGGAATTCCATTGAACAAAGTTGAGTTGACGTGAATTTAAAACCTTAAACTTGTAATCTTTCTGGCCCTTATTTGGCAAGCGTCTTTTTCAAAAATATCAAACGCAAATTTGTCTCGGATGACATATTTTTAAAAGTTTTGTATAAACTAATCTACGGCACCATTTGTTTATTATTATTGCTCTACTTTGAAAATTATTATTGCCATCTAAGTTAAGTGCGAGCCCCACTAGATCCTGTTATATTTATTTATCACATTGTATATTAATATACGATACTTCTATCCATTTTTTTTTATTTTGATGAAAGATCTATTCGAATAACCATTTTATATTGCCTGAATGAAACCAACTCAATTTAGCTCCTAATTATAGAAGAACTTCTTTAACACTAAATTCAACTTGAAATTATTTTGGATTAATATATACCAATTATTTTTTGTTTGACTATTGTAATTATTATTATAATGGTTTTTCATTCTATCCGAAAGTACATCTCATCTGATCTAACAATATTCTTGTTGTTTAATAATTTTTTGATAAAACCGCGTCATCTGATAATTGTTAAGAAAAGTGAGGTTACACCCAGTAAATTCCTGGTATAGGTGATTTAGCTTCTAACTTTTGTCATGTTTCTTTGGAAGACTAGACGAATGATGACATTTGATGCTTTTTTACGTTAATAGCACCACCAATGAGTAGCTCAATCCCCCATTGATACTCTGTATATAAAAATCAATTACACTGACTGTTATTTGCAAAATATCTTGCCAACTTCTGGTGATACATATATTCTACGTTATATAGTCATTTGAATAAAATCCCGAAGTTTATTTATTTTGTTTGATATTTCCATCCTCATCATTATCATCAGCACTGTTGCTACAGATGTACTGTGCTATTATAATTAGCTTCATTAATAATTTCGACGACAAGATATCTAGTTTGGCTTTAATGAATGTTTCTTTGATGGATTGGTGGTTCTTGCAATGAAACTATGTAATATTAGTATCTGAATATTAACCGCTGTATCAAATTTTCAACTATGTCTTTAGTCATGAGTGCATATTGATATCCAATTTTTTTCATTAAAGAAGTTGTCTACTATAGTATGATTATCGCATACATCTATTCCATAATCCCCACTTTCTACTTCTAATCTATATAAGTGCAGCTTTGTGTATTTTTAATTGTAATGAAATATTTCTTCTCGGGATATACACCTGGGGTCCAATATTTTTTGTTGATAATACATACTGTAAATGGCCATCCACAAAGGATATGTTAAAAAAGATTATTAGTATTATTATTTTGATTGATAATCGATTCATATATATTTGATCGGCCAATTAAATTGTGTGGTTTGATTTGTTTTGATTGACAATGATAATGCCAGAAATCTTTGATTTGATGTCACGTGCTTCCTCTTCAATTGATGTAATTTATGCTTGAATCATTTGCAAGTTTTCAGACACTTGCATTTTTTTTTTTTTGCGACTTGAGGGAACTCGTTCACAACTCACGTTGATGTATCGTCAAGAGATAATTAATTGATGATTTATGCTCTTGTATTTTAAAATATTAAGTTAAGACATGATGAAATGAAAAAAGTGACCGTCCTAATGTTCTTTGACGAAATTTTACCAAACTTGTAAACTATTACGTCAAATTCGCTGCAATTAATTCAAAAATGTCGCAAGTAAAATTACTTTAAAGGCTAATAAAACAAAAAACTTATAAATTATATCCAAAGTGCATTCAATCTCTCACTTGTTTCATCAGTTGTTCCCAAAGAGTCAAGTTTTTCTTTGATGAATACAAATTCAGTTCATTTATAATGTGATACATGATCGGGGTAGATAAAATCATTGATTAGGGATTCGGTTCCAGGGTTGACTAATTTTGGTATGAAAATTTTACGTAAAAGCTTTTTATAATTATTATTGCAAAGTAACTTAGTTAATCAATCAATATTGATATTATAAAAACTTTTATAATTATTTACACAGTAATTTTTTGATAATAAACTCATCTTTAATCTTTATCCTTGTTGTAGTGATCAATAAAAATTTCATTAAGGATAAACTCTGGTCTAAGCAGAGAATAATTAACATTCTATAAATAAAACTCTGATAGATCATTATAAAATTAACCATTAATAACTTTAAAATAAAATAGAAACATTGTCTTTATTTTCTTTTTTTAAAGCATTTTGATAAAAGCAACAGGTGTAGTTAGCTCCTTGTTAAAAGGCAACAATTGTCTATTTGCTTTAGTGAGCAAGCAAGCAAACTTATGACTAACGTTGGTTAACTAGTGAGTGTTAACAACAATTAGTAACGAAATTTGTTTTGGTGAGTAAGCAAAGGAAGATTAGGATTAACGTTAGTTAACTAGTGGGTATTAATGAAGTATCGTCCTGAAAATACTGGTAGTATTATTGTAATCGTAAACATAAGACTGTTAAACAAGCTGCTTAAGTTATTTGATAAAGTAAGCCAAAGCGAGTTTGCAACCGGTCAATGAATGTAAACAACTGAAACAAATCGTTCACAAGTGAATAAAAGAAACTTTATAACATTGCAAAAGGACATCTTTATTTATTTACAGTTATCTGGTGCCATTAAGTGTGCTCACAGATTCGTCTAGGTGCAAGAAAGAGGTAAATTTGTAAATTAATTAATTGACAAAGCACCGAATTATTGTGAATTAACTGACAAGCGTAACACAAAAGTTAAGCCATAATCGTTAATTAACCGAAATGATACCTCGCAATATCACCATTTAACAAGAATTAAAAATTGTAAAAGTTTATTATTTCAAAATATTGTTACAAGATAAGAAATAAAATAAGAATAAAATAAAAAGATAATAATAAATTTATAGTGAAGATTCATCGCATCTTTCCTTTTACTATTGTGATATTGTTAGTGATAATTAATGGATAGTGATTTCCAATTGATTAAATAATGAAATTTTTATTTACTTTTTCTAGAGAAACCAAGATTATTCAACGAACTATCATTACTTGCATAAATTTTTAAGCTTTTAAATTTAGCAATCTCTTCACCTAATATCCTACTTGCATGATATGCATCTGGATGTGATTTGTGTGCGCATTACTACCGCCACTAGTGGTATTATTATCATTTCATTATTATTTTTAATAATTTATTTCTGCAAAATAAAAAGGCTCTCTACTAGTTGGTCTTTTTGATGGATCCACATCCCAGCAATCTGTAATTACGTTGTCTTAGCAAATCTACAACACGATCATATGATCCATATTCTTGCAGGTTCTTTTTAGATTCTGACCAGCTTTCAGAACAATATAGTCATAACCATTCATTAGAACAAATTATCTTACGAGGAGTTATCCCTAAAAATTTCTTTCGTGAGGATAATCAAATAGTGCAAGGGTCTATTGGTAATGCATTTATGTGACTTATCTATTCCAAATGTATTCATTATTGTTTTAGAGTACTTCAATGAATATGGATAAGATTTATATACGTATTCAAATTTATCTTTTTTTCTGGGTATGATATTTGGATGTTGGATGATAATGGCCATGCTCTTAAATGGAATTGAAATGGATGGTAGTATGAAGTATATGGGAGATGACCTGACAGAAGGTCTTACGAATTACCTATTCTATCCAGATAAGATATGTTACGTTGATGAAAACACTTGTGAACTGGTACCTACAAAGGATTATATACGTCAAGTGAATGAAATGGCAGCAATAATCGAATCATTATAAAAAAATAAAAAAATAAACATATTGTAAACTTAGAAAGGTGTTAGATATTTTTTATGGTAAACTTTTAATTTGAAATTTGCATAAGGTGGATGATGATGTTAGTTGCACAATATTAATTATATTCAATAAAATATGATAAAAAGTTCTAGATAATGGTAAAACAAATCACATACATAAATGTGTGAATTTGCCTTGAATTTCGTGATGGATATTTTTATGACAATCTGTGCTGTTATCTCAATTCCACAATGTCCACAGTCGATATAATAAGACTCACTTTTATCACTGAGATCCACGCAACTTTGCATACTAGTTTTTCTTTGAGGAGAACTGAATAACGCGTAAAAAATTTTTTGTACAACATTAAGTTTTTCTCTAACGATAAGGAAAAGCGAAAATTGCATTATTTAAAAGAACAGCTTCATCGTCACCAAACTTTAGATTGATTTATTGTGATTCAACAGTAAAAGAATCTCAGCATTCTTTGAAGATTTAAAAGTGATGAAAATAGAAAACAAAAACAAACCCTGTTTTGTGTGCTATGTAAAGGTCATTCTAAATACTGCTTCAAACTCAGACACTAAAGACAGCTCAAACACATTATCAATATTATTGCATATTATGATTACATGTAGTTAATTTCAAAAGTCAAAAATATCAATTTAACACAACTCATATCTATGTAAAGACAATTTGATTTTATTAAATGTAATAATAAAACAATAGTTTTAATTTGTAACTAGAATGACAAAAATGCGCACAACCACCATTTTAAAAAAACAATACTTTCTCTTGTCATGTTATTTTTCTTTTTAGCTCAAAGACCTTTTTTTTTAATATTAAAGAAATTTGAAATGATTAAATGGTAGTTTTTGTAGTAAAAATAAAGATGCAATTACAATCTTATTTGCAAAAACAAAATTTATAAATAAAACTTCAACCCTTGAATTCGGATATGATTTTTTTTTTGCAATTTTTTACTTATACTTTTTGCAGTTGTCATATTGTCTTCTTTATCTTGTTTCTACAATTTGGTGGTTTTGATACATTCTGCCAATTTTTCTATTTGACTCCGGAGTTTTTCATTTATTTGTCCTTTTTTAGGATTGACTTTGCCAGATTTCCATTCATTCTTCAACTCTCTCTCTTTTTCGTTGATGTTCTTTAATAATTGTTTAAGATGGTCTTCAAGTTTATGTGGTTTCCCTTCTTCTGTAAGCTTTTCATTTTAGACCCACGTATTTCTTTTGCGTGGTCCAAAAGGTATGAAGTGCTGATTACTAAGATTTTTAACAAAAGTCATTATCTCCTTTGAATTTTTTCATAATTGCCAAATGTTCTTTTTCCATCAATTGTTTCTCATGCTTTATTATCCATTCCTCGTCCACGTCTGATTCTGGTTCAAATAGTTGAGGCTTTTTCTTTTTTAATTTGGTTCAAGAGTCAACAATTCCATTTTACATCTATTTCTTTGATATTTCAAAGCACAAACCTACACATGCATATTAAAGAATATATGTAAATTTATTTGAAAAATTAACAATAATCATTAGTTGTATGATAAAAAATTACCTATCATCAATTCTATTGATTTGATTATCATGAACCTTGCTGACGGAATGTTGATGGTTACATAAAATAGCAACCTGTCTGTTTGCTTTATTATATGCTATCATTTTCTCTGTTACAGTAGTAGCATCCTCCATCTCTTTCTTTAGCTCAATTTGGAAGGTACGAGATGCATTTTATGTACAGAACACTTTGGTAGTTAGTCCCTCCGTGAATTCAGATAAATGTCTATTCAAATCTTGAGTCTAAAATAATTTTTTTAAAGAAAATTTTGAATTCATTAATAGAACACACACATGTATGTATATATATATATATATATATGCAATGTATGAAATTTGAAATTTTAAAAATATATATATTTTTTTTTATACCATTAATCTGTCAAATAATGGTTCAGTGGGTCCCTTATCCTTAATAAATATTTTAAGATTTTTGAAGACTTGTTTTATTACTTCTGCTGAATTTACATATCTTACTGAATCTTTAGCTAAAAAATCAAACTCAACTGTCTTTGGTGCTACTAAAGTAATATGTTCACAGTATCCGCTTCTTCACCAGTTTTTTCATTTCCTGCTCTTAGTGCAAGCCTGTCAATAAGATACATAGCCGTAGCGCATTGACAAACTGAACTGAGTCTATATTTTAAATCACAGCAAATTTTTTCTATGTGTTTATCAAGTTCCCTAGCTTTTCAAATTTTTTCAAGTCACTTTGACCTTTAAGTGAGCTATTGGCTGCTAAAAACACATATTTTCTACTGTCATTTACATTCTCCTTCCAGGTGGTGAGCCAGGTAACTGTGTTATCAAGTAGAATACCACCCCAGGAGTGGCCAGCAGGCGGAGGAAGGATAAGTGCATCTTTACTGATATTATTTGTTATTTGCTTGAGGGTGACTCTTGACTTCAATGAACCAGTTTTAGGATGATCACCACGACCTCTAAACAAAACCAGGTGGCTCAATTCTAAAATTACCAACTTTTTCTTTACATCCATCTAAGTAACGATAACCATAAAATTCATCAACTCTGGTCTTTTCATCTTTCAACCTTTGTTTTTCCTCTTTTGGAAAATTCTTTCTTTGTTCCTTTTCTTCTTGTAAATAATCATATATAGAAGTAAATCACATTTTTCAAAATCCTCAATTAGTGGATTTTCTTCAGATTCTTCCAAGATAACTTGCCAATCTTTAAAGAAGTTTTTGTTGAAAGTATCATTCTTTACATAGTCCGTGTTTAATAATGCAGCATAAAATGTAGCTACTTCTTCAGCTTCTGGAGTGAGTTTGATTTCAAGCCCTTTGAAAAAAGAAATCAATAATGATTATTATAAAAAATTTATAAATATATATAGTTAATTATAACAACAACAACAACAATAATAATATTTCCAAATGTATGCATGTTAAAAAAAGTTAATACATACCATTATATTTCATCTTAACATTGTGAGGAACGTATTCTGTAGGAAAACAAACACCGTTATGAATTAAGCTAGTCCATTTAGCAGATCCATCACCGTTCAAGGTAGCGTGTGTGCTTCAATGTCTACTAATTTCCGATAATCAAATGTCGCATATTTGAATTGTTTTTTCTATAACAGTCAGTGTGCTGCCTTGACATCTTGTAATTATATATTTAATATTAACGTTATTAATACTATTAACGATTACGAAAAGCAAAATACCAATCGTTCATTTATCATCTTATAATTACCCAATGATCTGCTCCACGTTTTGATTCCAATTAAAATACTTATAAATTAAATATATATATCAAGACAAATAAAAAAAAACACCTCTGTCATTAACACGTCTTCTTTAGGAGACTCATGTTTTGTCATTGAAAAATAAATTGTTTTTCCAAGAAAAAAAAATAACAAAAAAAAAAATCTGTACAACACCAAGTGCCAATAATAAATAATTAGTGCTGATCCATTTTTTTTAACATATATATACAGTTCACTCTCTCTATAACGAACCCTCCGTCCCTATATGTAATTTCTCTGCTTTTGGTCGTTATAGAGAGAGTTTGTTAAGATGGTCGTTATATAGAGAAAAATTAATTATAAAAAATTGAAACGGGGACAAAAGGGAAGTTCGTTATAGAGAGGGTCGTTATAGAGAGAGTAGACTGTAAACAATGCCACGCCAACTAAAAAGAAGAGCAGAAAAAGAAAAAGAACAACACAAGTGTTTATCGGTGGCGGTGGTTATCTCCACTCGTCGTCACTCTAGTTTAACCAATAAACTAGACAAAAGAAAACAAAAATTACTTTACAGTCATTCTCATGTATTCCTCATGTACAAAGGCTAATCTGACTTGCCTCCCCCGATGCAATTAAATTCCAGGGGGGATTGCTCTGCTCTGGAGTTTACCGAGACTGCATCAATCGTCAATGACACTTTCACTAATCTTCCCAGACCAGAGAAGGCTGCTGGAATGCTAGCTGTAAAGTCGCCTGCAACGATCCTACTATAGGGTAAGGCTGGCTCTGTGGACAAGATGTCGCAACTCTGGAGGAATATCAAGAGAATCTGCAACTCATTTCAAGCGTAGGAGGTTACAATTCAGACCAGGGTTTGTGGCCCTGAAATTGCATTTGGATTCTGATGTTAGAAAGAAAGTTGTAAAACAGTGTTTGTTTGTATAATCATTTTCCTAAATGCTCTGCTTCTCTGATACTAACCAATTTATGATTTTGGGTAGGGGACTACAGTCAAACCTCGATAAACCGAACTCTGATTTTCACTTTATAACGATGCAAAATTGGCTAACCAAATAATATTTAATAGAAATTATTTCGTTAAGCCGAATTTTATTATTATTATAATTTCTACTTTACTTGATAAACCGAACTTAATGGTTTGTACAAAATAATAAAAATACAACTTTCTAAGCCGAATATGATCATAAACTGGTTTTAAAATTCGTCTTATTCGGTTTAAAAATGGTCGATCACCCAACAATTCTACTTTCTATCTTTAACCATGTCAAGTTCTAATAAAAAGACGAGGATATTATTGCATTAATTCAACCAAGAGGTATGAAATTCTTGGGTATAATCAGTTACTTCTGGAGGATAATTTATCATAACATAATAAATTCGTGATATGTGATCGAAGTAGATAATCAGACATTTTTTAATAGTAACTAGAATAATTTTTAAATCTCCATCTCGCTCTAATATTACTTACACACGTTCTTGGCAATTTTTGTTTTGTTTTTTCTTCTCTTCTTTGATAATTGCTCAGATATATTATTTTTTTTTTCAAATTAAAAAATTTTTCAATTGGGGTGAGGCGAACAAACACGTAAATATATTAATATTTATTTATTTATAACTTATAGTGTCGCACAAACGCCTATTTTTATTTGGACGCGCCAGGTGAAAAGGATTGGCATTTTTTAAAAAAAATATTCAAAAGCATTGTTCTAAAGGAAATATATTGTTTGTTAACAATAACCAGAGGTTTTTCTTTCATTAACATATTTTTTTTTAATACAATAGCCCGAACATCATACGTAAATGTGAAGCGAGCGAATTTATCATCGTGTAATTGTCATAAGATTCTTTATCATGATATTAACAAACGATTGGTATATGTCATTAACATTAAGAAGTATCGGGCGGGTTATATGCAAAAATTACTATTACGAGTTTAGAAAGTAACAGTAACACGACAAAATGGTGGGGCTTTTTTTATGTATATATATAAATTTAACCAATAATAGTTCAGACGCATTTTTCAAAAAAAAAATGGAAAGAGATACCCCAAGCATCTATTACATTCCAAGATGTTTTTGCAACAAGACAGCATCTGTTCGTCTATCTGAAATTACTAGAACTCTTATTTATGACTGTCATTATGTTAAACATGCAAACCCCTGGTCTTCTGGTGCCTTACTAGATTGTAAAAGGTCCATGTATAATACAACTTGCAACTTGACTAAAACTTCAGGAAAGGTAAATACACGATCCTTAATATTCACGACCTTTAAGAAATTGCATTTATAGTTATTGAATTTAAAGGTTTATTTTATTTAGGAAAACCCTTCATACAGTCCAACTGCACAAACCACTCAAACTCTTCCTGCTACTCATTTGTCTTCGACTGCAAATTTCAATCTATTCGAATTACCGACCATTTCAAAAGCATTATCCGTTCTAACCACTCAATCTGCTCTATTTGCTGCAACTATTCCTAGATCTACTTCACATGCTTTGAACGAGCCATCATCCACTTCAACCGTTACATCTTTTACTTCTATTTCAACTGTGTCATCCATGCCATCCACTTCACTTATCACTACTGCTACAGAAACTTATGGTAATGATAACAAGAATATTTGTGAATCAAATTCAGAAAATAAAATATGTGTTTTTCATGTACATGAACCAGTTTGGGATGAATTATGTAGAGCAAAAAATTTGAACAAGGATCATCGTGATCTCGGCGCATGTCCTTTCTTCAACTTGACATTTTGTATATATTTTAAAACTGTAAATAACTTTGCTATCAATATACCATTTATTCCAAAATGCTATTGTAAAAGAAACATATTCTTGACGAGAGTCGTTAAACCCCACAATAAGGGACGTTGGTACATGGCTTGTGCACATTACAATGTAAGTATTAATGCATATACATGAGGCATATATGCATAGGTAGATTTTGAAAAAAATCCATTATTATATTAATTTATATAGATACCAGGTGCACGACCAAAATGCACTTACTTCCAATGGCTTGATGATTTTAAATTTGATAAAACAAAATATCAAGCTGATCATGATTATTTTCTCAAGTTTCCACAAGTATGGATTGCAGAACCAACTAATAGGAAATGGCGAGATGAACTTGCTAATAATCTAGATAATGAGGTTAAGGAGATTTTAGAAGATAATAGTTATAATAAACATCTATATTACTAAAATTCTAATGTCTGTCCCTTTTTTGCGATTTGATTGGTCGGTTCTATGCACTATGATTTAATGTGTGTAATGTTTTATTTAAAAAAAATCCGTTTTAACAAGTGACTTTTTCAATCATAATAAAATTTTTAGAGCCAAACCAGGGCTTCCTAACGACCATTAAAATAGGAATCTAGCTTATTTATTTGTTATTCTACGCCAAACTGCAGTGTTACTTTTTTTCACATTAAGATTTTCTTCCAACTGACGCGGAATAAAGCAAACTCAACAGTAATAGTTGTATCAAAGTGTTCCTTACAAAGTCGTTTATAATCACTCAGAAGGTTGCATTGGAAAAATTTTGACTTTTATTATAAGAAATTGATTCATAATTATTTATATGGTTAATATTTTTAGAATCACATAAACCAAATTTCAAATCTAGAATATTGTAAGAAGAGTTCAATTATGAGTTTGAATTAAAGATGCAATATATAAAGAAGGCAAACCAAAAGAATGCAACAAGTGTAAATTGACAAAGTACTCTGATAGATTCTGTGAAGGTTGTATTAGTTTGCAATTACAGAGACTTTTCACCACTTGGACATCTGGGAATAACATAATTGATGATTTTATTCAACAATGTCAAATGGAATCATCTCTACCAAACAGTGGAAATAACATAATTATGTTATTTCCACTTAGTCTAGGTTATGATGGGTATGTCGCAAAACTCAAGTCATTTGAGTGATGGGTGGGTCATAAAATTCAAGTCATTCGAGTGGTGGGTAGTTCAAAAAACTCAAGTCATTCGAGTGCAGTCGATCGCAAAATTCAAGTCGTGATGGATAGATGGCTTGTATACCCTTTTTGAAAGTCAAATTCGATATCAATAATGTTTTAGTCACTTATATAATTTTTCGTATATCGGTTTAGTGTTTCTGATCGATTTCCGTTATAAATAAATCCCCGAATTAGGTTATGACGTAGTATCATAGTCCTTCTGCGTTTTCTATTATAACCCAAATTCGATAGCATTATTTGTATACCGATTTGATGGCCGTGACTGATTTCTGTTCCAATAAAATAACTGAGGTAGGTTATGAAGGAGTGTAAGCCTCATCGCGAGTTTGATCTGTCAAACATATTTCATACGTCATTTGATATCACATGCTAGTGTCAAAGACACATATTATCTGGTTATGCTATCAAGTATGTCGCGTAATTGATATCGGTATATGCATCGCGTAATTGCTATCGGTATTGATTGCAGGTTGATGGGCAGAGTATATATTTATGAAGGCGTCTGATTTCTGCATTTTCAGTCTCCGCCATGTAACATTCATGATCATCGTCAACATGTGTGGACGGTCACCTATAAGTAGCACTCCAGGAAAATGCTTATTTTGGCTTTTACGATGAATTCGATTGCGAGGGGTGAGGCACGAAGTGTCGAATCGGCAATCTCTATTTTGGCCTTGTATGTTGCATTCGAATGCTAGGTTTGAGGCACGAAGTGCCGAATTGTATAATGCATTCGAATATCAATCGAGGATGAGGCACGTAGTGTCGAATTGTTAGCAGTTGTTAGCTTCATATAATTCATTCGAATATCACCCAATGATGAGGCACGTAGTGCCGAATTGTTAGCATATCTGGTAATACACCAAAGCATCCGATGATGAGGCACGTAGTGCCGAATTGTTAGCATATCTGGTAATACACCAAAGCATTCGATAATGAGGCACGTAGTGCCGAATTGTTAGCAGTTATTTGGTAGACGTCCAAAGCATAATTTTTATAATATATATCTTTCTATAATAATTTTACTTTGGGTGACTACCGGCAGTATACTATGTTTTACGATCCTAGAAATCTTTCTTGCATAGTTGATACTTTCGAATACTATCACTTCATGTTAAAAATACTTTGGGATACTACCAATTTTTATATCCAAAGCATTATATATATCTGTAATAATTTTACCTTGACATGCTACCGAATACCAGCTATGTTTCATATTTTTTGAACCATTTCTCGTGTAGTTGATATCTTTATATGGTAGACGTCCAAAGCATAATTTTATAATATATATATTTGGTAGACACCCAAAGCATAATTTTATAATATATATATTTGGTAGACACCCAAAGCATAATTTTACCTTAGTATGTAGAACTTTAAGTTCCATATCTACATTTTCTGACTCATTATTTTCTTCCATTCCTAATTCAATTAAATTTTCAGAATCATACAATTGAACAGGTGCAGTAATAACATTATTTCATTGAGCCAAATCAATTTGTGCTTGGTCTAGTTGTTGACTTTGTTTTGAAGATTTGAAAAACTTGATAAGCTTTCTAATTCTTTTTATATATGGTTTAATAGACTTCAAGCTGTGAAGAACCATAAGTTGAAGGGTATGTGCAAAACATGATATACATTCCACATCATCCCAAATTCTAATTGCTTTTTTCATATTCTTACCATTATCAGTAATTGCACAAATTATTTTACCAGACAACCCAAATTCTTTCAACCTTTGCATTTAGGTATTCTTTAATTCATTCGCCTGTATGTGGATATTCCATTTTTCAACAGCCAATACTACATCATATACTTCAAAATCTGGTGATAACCAGTGAAGAGTCACACCAATATATCCATCATTATTTTGAGATGTCCACAAGTCAGTTGTTATAGAGGCTGTTTCACAAGTTCTCAAAAGCAATTCCTTTAATTGTAAAACACCTTTGTTGTATGCAACAGAAAGACTGTTTTTTATGCTTTTACTGGAAGGTGAGTTGAAAGCAGGATCAATTGTTTTCATAATTTTTAAATATCCTTTTTTATTTACAACGTTAAAAGGTAATGAATCAGTGATCAACCACACAGCTGTAATTCTTTTCAATTCTTTTTGCTTGGATGAATCATGTGGAATAACTTTTTTAAAAATACTATCAATTTTTGGTTGACTATATTTTTCTAAACCAGTCTGGAGTTCCTCTGATTCCAAGATTCCATGTTTTACTTGAAGGTGTTGTTTCATATTACCAGTTGAACAATCATGTTTGTAACGTTTACCACATGTGGTTTCCTTACCCCTTATTGAGATAAGTATTTTGCATACATCATTTCCATCTTCTTCTTGAAAATAACTCCAAACAAAACTTTTTTTTGGATTTAAAATGAAATTAATCAAAAGAAAGAAGTTTCACAGTCAAGCACTTGTTACTAAAATAGAAGTTCCAGTTAAGTAACCATGAGAGAACTACTCTACACAATCTTAGAGTTAGAAGGATGACATAGCAGTAATTCTACTTGTGTTTTTTGCCCTGGTTTGAAAAAAGCAGTTTGTCAAATCAGAACACGAAGCAAAGCAAC